AAGGTATCGCTCCGCATTAGGGTTGCAGAACTCCGTTAGCGGCAAATCCAAATCACGTTATGATCATCTCGCCCGTTCTAATGCGATCCCCCGTCTGCGGAACGCGTCGTTGGCACCAGACTTTCATCCCCGCGAAATTGCTTGTCACGACCCGGACGTCTTTTCCCGGAATTAGCTTATCAATTCCAGTAAACCTGCCCGTGTGTGTGCGCGAACGTGCCAAAACAAGGACGTGGCAATGGGGAATTCGTGACGGTCTTTGAGGGCCTGTATGAAGAGAGTTATCCTTGGAACTCTGTTGTTAGTATTAAAAAAACAAACATAAAAGGCCCGGGTAATGTTCAAAGGTAAATTTAGGATGTTCGGCAACGTTTTTCCCGGAATTAGCTTATCAATTCCAGCGAACATGCTCCGTGTGTGCGCGAACGTGCCAAAACAAGGACGTGGCAAGTAGCCTACTGTGCAGCCCTCCTGGCGGGTGGGAGTTTTGCTAGAATTTTTAACGTGTTCTTTTGCCAGCCATCCTATCCTTCAACTAGCCGCCCAGAGAAGGTTTGTTCAGTGGCGGGTACAACCCTTCTCTGGGCGGCTGGTTGTAGGCTGGCCAGCAAAAGAACCGTTAAAAACGCAGTATTAAAATTCCCACTCGCCCGGAGGCCTGCACACGAGGCTAATGGCAATGGGGAATTCGTGACGCTCTGTGAGTTGCGCATGAGGGTCTGTACGAAGATGGGTGTCCTTGCAACTCCGCTGTTATCATTAAAAGAACGGTAAATCCAGTGAGGCCCGGATAATGTTTAAAGGTAAATTCAAGATGTTCGGCTACGTTTCCGGAATTAGCTTATCAATTTCAGGAAATCTGCCCGTGTTCGCGAACGTGCCAAACAAGGACGTGGCAATGGGAATTCGTGACGCTCTATAAGGGTCTGTATGAAGAGAATCTTTTATTAGTCCCTTGTACAATTAGAACAGAAATATACGCACTTACCGAAAAGAGAACTGTTCAAACATATTATAACATTCAGGACCTTACCATTCAGGAACTACGATGTAAATTTAATGAAAAACTTTGTAAATGTGTTCATGCTTGTTTCAAAAAGGGAGATGAGATCTTGTAGATATAGACGTAGCACAGTAATGTAGCACTTGTTCCTCCTATCCTTATACCCAAGGCCCAGATACATGTATCTAACTTAGTGCATTTAGCCCACGTAGGGCGTGAATATGCAATAAAGTTAATTGTAATTGTCATTAAAAACGGTAAATTAAGTAAGGCCCGGTCAACGTTTAAAGGTAAATTAAGGATTTTCGGCAACATTTAACGGTGAATTGACACGTCTTCATATACGAACCTTGCTATGTTTGGGTATCTTTGGGTAAACATAACCGAACAGTTCGTAGTGATTATGGGGCAATCTGGCCACGTTCGACTACATGCGATACAGCAAAAATGTCAATAACGCTTAATGAAGAATTCCGGATAACAAATAACGGGGTACGTACGATTTAAGCGACCAATCACTCTTCGCGAACGATTTTATCGACTACGCTTAACGCTGGAGGCCGGCCACAATTAATGGTGAAATAAAATAGGTCGCTTCGCCTCAAGCAAAAAAGGCATGCAAACCCTCCTTTATGCTGGGTTCCACTTCACAATAGTAGCAAATAAATGATATATATGTAAATGTAGAGCTCATAAAGGCCCTTTTCCCACTCGAATAAAATTGTCCGGATCAAGCCGAATTAATTCGCTTTGATCCGGCTTCGATCTGGCTTCCAGCTGGAATCCAAGCCGGATTAAAGCGAATCAATTCTTGATCCGGACAATTTTATCCTAGTGGGAATGGGGCCATAGTATCGTGATAAGAATGCTAAGCAGTTCCTTGTTGTGTCGGTTGGGACACGCGAATGGACAGATCACACAGAAGAATAGTATTAAATTAAAAAATGCCGCAGAAAAGACTTTAGGTGAACACTTATGGCGATTTCAAACCGAGAACAGAAAAATCAAAACGCTTCGGTATCCCCTCTCCTCCAGACAGTACATTCACTGAAGACTCATTGTCGTAAATCTACCGATATAAAGACCCATATAAAGAGATTTCCTATTTATTTATAAACCTTCCCCTAGCCTCTCTCTTTCTGTCTATCTCTATCTCTATTTCAATGTCTCCTCCTCTCTCTCTCTCTCTCTCTCTCTCTCTCTCTCTCTCTCTCTCTCTGTCTTGTTGTCTCTACACAAACAAGCACCAGAATCACACCAAAACACATTTGAAACATACGTACACTGATCAGTCATACCAAGAATTGAGGCGGACTTGCAGTTTCCGGCTTTTCAGCTGCAGCTAGCTAGTAATTCCAACCGTGCACGCGAATATCTAAACCTTGCCATGATTGAGGGTGTAGCTTAGATTACTTTGGCAGGTTACTGCGAAAACCTGTCCGTGAAAGAACGTGCGGGAAAACATTCGACGACGGTGATTTTAATCTTGTATGACTGTCCCCGAGCCTTTTACACAAAAGCCAAGAGCCGTCATTATTAGTACCTGATGCTGCGTAGCCTGGTAAACACGTGCATTCTTCATGGGCCGGATTAGGGCATTTTAGTCTCCACCAGAGTCCTTTTGCAGGCTGAATAAATCGTAGAAATCGGCCTAAAAGGGGATATAATTGGCCAGAGGAGATCCCGGCCTGCCGTGCAAACTTACACCTCTAGCCAATTATGTCCCCTTTTTAGGCCGATTTCTATGATTTATTCAGCCTGCAAAAGGAGTCTGATGGAGACTAGGGCGTTTTACCGGCCCTAGGTAAAGGCTTTCTAGTCGGCCTCTCTCTAGAATCGCCGTCTTGTAATTAAAACCAACACGGTAATAGTTTCCCGGTGTGCGGAAATGGGCCTGGGCGAGGGGGCTTATCTCCAAGCAGATGTTTCGGCAAATATTTTTGCAGCCACCGAAACATCTGCTTGGAGATTAGGGCCGACAACATGGCCGACAACACTTCCAAAGTAGTCCCCACACAGCAGACGAATACCGCGGGTTCAAGAACAGTTTTGCCAAAATTTTGCCAAAATGTGGAGAAAAATTGCGAAGGGCAGTTTAGGCACCGTAGAGTTCATTTGCCCGCGCAGTTAGGGAGGAGGAAATTACTAGTAACCTTCCCGCGGACTGAATTTTCTGGCCAATTACGCTTCCCTTTTTTGCCGAATTCTATGATGGATACTGGTGCAAAACCAGTGGTCTGAACAAGTTTGAGCCGGTGCAAAATCATGCCAATATCAATATTCAATCCAAGTCGGTCGAAGAAAGGCCACGCTTCACTTTTTAACTTTCGAGGAATCAATTGAATAAACAAATTAAAAACAAACAAATAAACAAACGAGAAAATACAAAACAAACTGGAAAGGTAACATTTGCAAAGCAAATTCATAATATTTACCTTCGCATATGGTAAATGTATTTCTTACTCATCATATATATCATGGTGACAGGAGTCTACAATATAAATCTGCTATAAGATTGCAACATGATGTAACCCAACACGAGTTACCATGGTGACAGACGTCTGGTTCAGGTCATTGACCTTATTTGTTTGGAGAAGAAGAAGAAACAGAGCAAAAACAATATGTTTTCCTTCTGCCAAGGTAAACATAACTAGACTGACGAACGCCAATTAGACACGTCTTTGTGTGAGACGTGTGGGCGAGAGCTCGGGTTATGACGTAGCGTCACGTAAAAAAACTGTAAGCTGATCTCAGCACAACCGCTCGCTACACGTGACCTTCACCACTCGCTACACGTGACCTTCAACTCCGCAGATATAAAGGAAATCTGAGACTCAAGCAAATAGATGGCTGACGTCATCTAGCGTGGTAGAAAAAAGAGAATGTCTTCGGGGAAAATTCAAGGAGTGTGGTACAGGGGATGGGTCCTCGGATATCTAAGAGCATGTAATCTCCAAGCAGATCCTAAGATGGCAAAAGACAGTATCAAATTGTCCAGGCAGTGTCCATTGGCCAGAATGCCACCCTAGGATCTGCTTGGAGATTAATATCTATGAGCATCCACACCTCTGTCAGTTGTCTGTGCGCCATGGTGCAATCAACCGACACCCATATCTGTTTCATCTTTGTTTTGATATTCATGAGAAGCTCAAAATCGCCCTGCAGGCCGCTTTTCATTGAGGTCATGGGTCAGACCATGGAGGTGGAAAATCTACCTCCATGGTCAGACAAAATATGTTATAAACAAAGATACAATTTACATCATTTAAGTCATAATAACTTATATAACGTTACACATATCATTTCCGGGACTTAGATCTCCCCATGAGCACGATGATTAGATATGTACATGTACATCAAGGAGAGAGATCGAGAGAAATTTAACGGATGCTGCAATACAAAGCGGACGGATTGATATCAGGTGGATTTTTTTAAAACCCAAACATCAAACGTAACGCCATATGCATTCAGGCTTCATCAGTAATGACTGAAATATTGCTCTCGAGCGGAGGTTTAGGCGTTGGCTCATTTTTCCACGTTTTTATGCGTTTTTTTTATAAAGCTTTCTGTTTTGTACGGGTATCTTATTTTCGCCAGCCAAGCGGGTGGCGTATCAATTGGATACTGTCTTGCCAATTTGATACTGTCTTGCATGCAGCCACCAGAAAGATCTGCTTGGAGATTACGCCGAAATATTGAAATCCAGCTTTGCGCAATCAGCCGACATTTATACACGTTACAAGTTCTCAAACAGATACGTGGCATAATATTATTAGTCTCCACCAGACTTCTTTTGCAGGCTGAATAAATCGTAGAAATCGGCCTAAAAAGGGTATTAATTGGCCAGAGAAGGTAGCCGGCCACAGAAGCTCCATTTGCCGAAATTAATACCCTTTTTAGGCCGATTTCTACGATTTATTCAGCCTGCAAAAGAAGTCTGGAGGAGACTAGCATAATATTTTTCCTCATTTGCCTCGTCAGCGCGTCTAGTTTGCGGTCGAACGTGTGTTTTATTTCCCCCCGTTTCTAAGACCACCACCTGTTCATCATATTGTTCCAATCAAACTTCTTGTACCATTGACGTCACTTTCAGGTCACGTGACCCGGTTCCGGCGCTCCGATTGGTCCGCGCTGTGTTATTGCAAGTGAAGTGTCAGACGAGCCCGGCGCGGTATTGTTGCTGCTGTTCTGCCAATTTATCTCCAATTACCGGAGAGATATTCCACTCTAAGGACCGATTGTCGGGTACTGCTTGTATTTTCCAGGCTGGTTCTGTCGCTGGTCAGTGTCAGGGTAGGTAGTTCCCAGTTGTATAAGCGAGAGGGCCAAAGTCCGTGGTTGTTTATGATTGTGAGGAGAGGCCGGCTGGAGAGAGATTTGTTGTAACCCGTTAGGTTAGCTCCCGAGTAAGTGCAGGCCGCACTCACAGTGAGCGAGCGCTCGCTGCGTCTGTCTCTCGCACCATACTGCCTGCCTGGGCGCTGTGGTGAACCGCCGACTGTCATCGATTTTTGTCAGCAGCCGATCAGAGTGATAGATATGTCCGTTTACCGATAGTTTGCCGACTTTAGACTCGCGAGGTAACGTTAGGAAAAGAGGCTAGCTGGGCGATCGCAGCAGCAGATATCTCTCAGATGGGGAGAGGGGCCGGGCGATACTGATCCTCCTCCCAGACCCCGGCAATAATCAATTTGATCGGGCTGGCAGCAGCGTTATTTACGTGCAATATTGAGTACACTGACGACGTTTCCACGGTTGTGCCACGCCGGTACGGTGCCTGCAGGTGAACGGTTGTGTAAGTGAGGGAGTGCCCCGGCCGCCTCGCCGCCCCACCGCGCTGCCTGCCATGAGGTGTAGTCGCCATGGGGTGTGCGCCCAGCATCCATGTGTCTCAGAGCGGAGTGGTGTACTGTAGAGACTCTGACGGAGGCTCCAACTCCCCGCACCCGTCCGGCTTCTCCCGCTCCTACCACACACACATCCACCACGGTGCCGTGGGACCCATCAGCATCAAGACCGAGGCCACAGACGGGGACCCGCCGACCCTGGTGCAGACACTCGCCGTCAAGAAGGAGAGAAGGGGCACCATAACCTTCGAGGCCGAGACACAAACAAGTCGGGCCAATATGAAGGTAAGCCGACGCTCATCTTTATTTTGTTCCTAGAAAAAATAAACAAACAAAAAACGCATGGTACATATTACCATGCTTATTTCCGAATAGCATGTTTCCCTGAAATGTAGGCATTAAAGTACGAAATGATACCTTTAAATTGTGCTGTAATGTAACGTTAAACGTTACTAGTCTTTCCGCATGATTGCAATGCCGTATATTCCCCGAAGTTTTAAAGCATGGCTTGACTGACTTTTATTTATTTGGAAAACATTAACTGTATTGACAACAAATTTGCTTGCTGCCCACCTCGATGAAAACAAAAATTGTAACACTAAAGTGAGGAGGTATCAAAGAAATGATGATATAACGTTATGTATGACAGCTTATTTTCTCTAATTACGACTTCACAGTGAGAATTAAATGGTGATAATTTGGTTTTGATGATCTGTTTTGAAATCAATCTAGGCAGTGAGAAAATTTTTACCTGAAAATGCAACATTGAATAAATCATGAAACTGATACAGTATTTCCTTATCTAAAATATTATAAAATCATTCATATCCAAATGTTCATCAAAACAACCTGTTGGATTTTTCTCTGGAAAGTGGAAATATCTATACTATAGGGCAGTATAGGCACAATGTTTTGACATGATCATTTTTGAATTGATTCCAAAAACCATTGCCATTTTAACAGAACAGCCTGTAATGTTACCTATGCCAGCTATGCCCCACAAAAATTGCAGATGCTGTGCAATAGAATATAGCCCAGCATTGATTTCCTGAATGATTCAATATTGCACAACATATGAGTTAACATATTGGTATCCATATGATGTGACTCAAAATTAAGTGGTATAATATTACGGGATCATATGTGTACCTGTTGCATTTTTATGCAACATATCTATTACATGTACAAGTAAGAACAACTACTAGTAGTATTTTATATTTATAACAACAGCTTTTTTAAGTGGACAACTTTCCAATGTTTATCATACAGATATACATGTATCAAACCTCCATAGATATGGTAGATAATGTAACAACTTCCAGGCTTGCAACATCTTGAAAATGATACACGGAGTGGCTGACAGGATTGGTAAATCTGACCCAAAATGTCGCTCGAAGATGTTAGCAGAATGGTTTGTCAGATGCCTTGAATTTATGATGATAGTTTTCATTTTGAGGTTGTTCTGTCTTCAGCATGTGGTTGTGAGCAAAATTTTCCTGCCATTTCTTTCCATACTTGTTTAATACTGTGATAAATAAATTCCTACTTAATCACTGGCAGGTTGTTTTTCATAGAAATGCTGACAGACTATTACTTGCAATGGATAGAAAAACAGGTGGAAATGTAGATGGATGTGGTCAATATTAGGAGCTGCAGTATTGCCTCGATGACATCTATTTGGTGCATCAATCATCATTTCGAAGGCATTCTTTTGCCCAAAGGGACTGCTTTGTTTTCCGATCAGAATTTCTTGCTGGTTATGTATGAGACCGAGAGGGGATCCTGTAGAAATGGGTTATCTCACTTGTAACTCAGTGTAAGCCGGATATTCACAAAGCCACAATATCTTTAGATTAGTCAGAATAATCCTGTCAGTGGAGTATCAAGGGCGCTTTAACTGCATGAATCACCAGTGATTAAGTAGGAATTTATCACAGTATTAAACATGTGTGGAAAGAAATGGCAGGAAAATCTACTTTTTACATTATACATGTACTTAAGTCACATCCAGTATGGACCAATAGATTCTACTGTTTTGTGCTTGAGCACATATGCTGAAGCATATTTTAGTTTAAACTTAAAGGTACAAACGAAGAGTCTTTGCCAAACACCAGGCAGAAAGTGAGAAGAGCATGTGTTTACTGTTGTGTCTCTTGGGAGATAAATTGACTGACAGGAGAGGAAAGCTGTTGCATGGAACATTATTGCATGAATGCTGTGCATAAATTCTTCCGGTAATATCAGTTGTTTGTCTTTGTCTCCACAACAGTCGTTAATAAGCTGGAACAGTACAGGAAAGGGTACAGGGAGTTTCCAAATTACAGGCTCATAATCATGCACTTTCACCTGCATGTTATACAATGTATACACCGGCACACACACGTACGTAACACGTCTGGATTGATGCAATTATTTTGATTGAGGGTTATTAAGCCGGCCGCTATTACAGCTGGGGTTTTTTACAGTCTCCGTACATACATCATGTAAATGAGGATATGTTGGGGGCACATTTGCTGCGTGTTTCCCCCGCTCTGAAAACATTCTGATGGAACTAGAGTCAACAGGTTGTGCCGAACAGGTGAGGCCAGTCTCACGCGCAAGGACAAACCAACAACCACCATGCCATTAGGTGTGCTGTCCATGCTGATTATCATAGACTCTTCAGGGCTGGAAATATTGGGTGCATCTGTACTTCTGTGCACCAAAATTGGACCTGTGCACCTGATTTTTGATTGTCAGTGCACCTAGATATTTGTGTAGGGTTAAGTTTACTAAACGGTGTATGATTGAAATGAGATGAAATGATTGTACACTGGCATTCTGCATATTCTTGGCATAAAGTGCTTGAAAAAATATCATTTTATATCATGATCAGTTGCTAAAAATGTCGAAGTTATTTCATAATTTTAGATTCAAGCCATGAAGAAAGGCAGCAAGGTTTATGTAGTCAGGATTTGCCCGCATTCTTCTTTACTAGTATTTTATGTTATGCCAAATTTTTGTGTGTGCACCTACTTGTATTTTCCCAAAGACGAATTTCAAGCCCCGGAGCTTTCCCATTGTTTTAAAAGCGGTAGTCCTCTCATCCATTTCAGCACTGCTCTAGTGGCCATGTGAGATGTAAAATTATCCCTGTTGGTAGCAAATCAAATCTATTTGTGTGCCGTCTAGTCTACACAAAGGGTGTTGTAAGTAGCAGGTGTAACAAAAGCAACCTGTCAGGAAGGTAATGATGGGGGAGGAGCTTACTTACCAGCATTAACAATACCATATATAGTTGCCATTATACAGTCGCCTACTAGTCTAGGGCTGTGTTGAAGAAAAGGTTTACTAGTAGTTGTTTGGAATCACTTGTGTGCCAATCTGTCGTGCTTATATTATGTGTTTCGTTAACAAGACCATTGAATACCTATAAGTACTGTTTGCTATGACTGGGTAACATGATCTTTTTGTACTCGTGTAAAGAAAGATTTGGTTGTTATTGTTGCGTTGTCGTTCCTTTTGTGTGATCCCTATACAGTCTAACCTGTACAAGTGACAAACTGTACATAAAGACCACCTGGCCAGTGTGACCACGGCTTTTTGGTGGTCCTTAGATGGATTTTCCTATTGACACAAGCATTAACTGTCTATAGTATAGGGACCACCTGTTCAGATATTCATTATGATATAGACCAGATTTTGTCGGTCCTCTGTGAGGTTACTAATAGATTTTTTCTTAGAAACAGGGTGTTAAATTTACTGATGAATGATAAAATGAATGATAAAACCCAACAAGTGACGGCTGTGGTTTTATCGCTATTATGGCATGAATATTGTAGTTATAGAATTCTGTCGTTTGCCTGGTGTCACCTATGTTTTGGGGCCTGTTGAAAGGAGGTTCAACAGCAAAAGACAGTGACAGGCTTGTTTTCATTGCAACTTAGTTGATGCCATATGTAGATTTTTATAGTTGATACAAAGAAAATTTTTGAAGAATCCCAAACCTTATGCAATATGTTGTAATGATCTAGTTTTTCGATGGTTAATATTTCTGAGAAGGGAACCTCTGCTCATTATAGTTTATCTTTATCTTATTGAAATTATATATTATATAACCAACAAGTTACTAGTAGTTCAGCCTTGCAGGATACCTGGTGTACACGTGGTTTGCCATGCAACTTGTCTCCGTTTAGACCTACTTTTTTTATTGACATTTAACAACATGTTAACATGTTGACCTTCCACCACCCACCTGTTGAGTTTTGACTAGAAACACTTTAAGGCCCTTCAAAGGCTGGGAAATTTACGTCTTACTTCCTTTTGGCCCGTGTTTGTTACTCTGTACTGTAAACTAGTGTATGTGGAATAATCTCCTTTACTACTTGCTTACGGTGTTGCCACATTCGTCGGAGGTCATTGTAGCCTTTTGACGTCATGGAAGTTTCAAGCAGGCTGTAACAGAACCAAACACTTATACAAGGATCTAAGATGAACTCTCCAAGCAGAGGATGGTGGGGAAGATCGTTAATACCTTTCTATATATGCCCCGGTTTTTCTTTTGTTGGTGGGGGTGGTGACAGAAAAAAACGGGGCATATACAGAAAGGTAACGATCTTCCCCACCAACCTCTGCTTGGAGATTACTAAGACAGACATTTTCCCAATAAGACAGCTGAATTTTGACTGGAGCTGCAGCATGACCACACCAAGAATGCATCTAGTTTGCGATCGTAGAACAAATGTCATTGGCCTCTTACCTGATGGATATCATAATAAAGGATGATGTTGGAGAAGGTTGCTGTGAAAAAAGGTGACTTTTGTGAAAAATGGTAATTTTTGTGAAAAAATTTTGAATTTTGTGAAAAAAAACAGCAATTTTTTTTCCTCTTTGGTGATGGGTGAGTGGGTGCAATGCCCACATCTGTAATTTGCAATTGAATGCATAATTAACTGTAAACAGCCACCATCTTTGGAGGTATCCGGCATGTTTACCATGCGACCTTTGCTCTACTTCTGCTGATAACCCCAGCCCTCCACAGGTCCTCTAGTTTACATGTCAACCCATTTCCACTGGTTACCAGACTGTTTGGGGTTGCCAAGTGTAAACACGTTGAGACCAAACCACCAACATGTTGACATGGAGGCGACACACTGCAACTGTAACAGGTTGGGACCTGTCAACCCACCAGGGAAACGTCCAAGAAGAAAAACTAAACAATTGAAAAGGATAAACAATAAAGTCACGAACTTGCCTAGGGTGGATTGCAACTGTTTTGGTATTCGTTATATACGACTTGATTGTCTTTGGCAGTTTATCTCAATTAGATTTTAGTCTTTTCTGTCAATTTATTAAAAAAACAAGTGCTTTTGTGTAGCATACCAGTTAATTTTCTGTGAACAATTTCATCAGGTTGGTGAAGGATGGTCATCCAAAAGCTGAATATTGTTAAATTGGTTGTGAATAAAGAACTTTGCTATTCATACCAGTTAATTGTAACACCAAATTGTTCTGCTATTAGCAGTCTTCAAGCCTGTCATACCTAGCCAGCGATGGCTGCCCGACCTTCTCCAGACCATGGTTGGGAGTTTGTGAGCAAGGTCATCTGTGGTTTGGTGTTAGTTGGTGAGGTTGCCTTCTAGTAACTTGTCTGCATCAGCCGACTATGAATTTTGAAAAATCAAAGTTGGGAAAGTCATATTCTGCTTTTGGTTTGTGAGGCTGCCTACTGCATCAGCCGACTACGAATTTTTAAAAAATCAAAGTTGGGAAAGTCATATTCTGCTTGGATGTGATCAGATGAACAAACTGGGGTTGAAATAGGGTGAATTTTAGGCTACTCTCAACCCAGCCCAGCTCCAACGTTGATCACAAAGTGGTTGGAAGCTATATATTCATGGAAGGCCCCTGAATGTATGGCTGGCATTAATTCGAAGCTCACGACTGTCTCGGAGATAAATTCCCAATAACCAGGATCAAATGAACCTGTCCACGACTCCATAAATAATTGAAGTAACTGACAGTTGATAAATGGGAAAACAGGTTATTGCATTGATGCACTGGTAATTACTTTCCCAATTTGAAAGTAGGTCTTCTAAGTGTATGTACGTAGTTCGTCTTTGATGACAGGAAGAACATCTTATGTCAAAGGTTCTATGTTGTTCACACATCATACATGTAAGTGGGATGATAAAGGGATGATAAAAGTCTGTTCAAAACTGAATTGCGTTTTATTCCCCCAGGAGCAGACAGGACTCCCCAGTCAGACTGAGGACATGCTGGGACCCATGAAGGTGAAAAAGGCAGCAGTGCGGGTAAATCAAATGCATTTCTTTTCTCCCAAATTTTAAGGTGCAATGGCCAAGGGGGTAGCTGTTGTATTCGCCTTGTATTCAGTGTAGGTCGTGTGTTCGATCCCCAGTCGACTCAAACCAAAGACCTGGTACATTCTGCATTCTCTGCTTAGCACTCAGCATTTGGGAAAGAAGATGGTAGTTGAACACATACTCTGCTACCGCTGCTGTAGTGATTGCACTACTGTGTGGCCCAAGGGCTATTGAACCTGAGATGGGCACCGCCCTATGCACCACCTGGTACGGGAAGGACTTAAACTTTAACTTTAGATTTTTAGATAAAGAAAAGAATTTGGAGCCCTGGCTGAGATGTGAAGATATACGTTATGATTGATTATCATTCATGGCATGTTCATGATTGATGAAATATGAATACCTTAGCTAGTATATCTCACCCTGGTTATTCCAAGCGGTGCACTTAATTTGTCATGCATGGCCACATTTGGTGCTGAATGAATACCTTGTAATCAAATTGGAATTGAGATGTACTCCCACACTGCTGAAATATTCTTTTCAATAGCAAACGGTGACCTCTGCTCGACTTTGGCATGCTTGCAGAATGCAGAGTTTGCATGAATTTTCTTGTAGGCAATCTCCAGTTCTAACCCATATAAAACAGATTTCTGTTTTGGGCGGTTGAGTTGTGGGTTTGTGTGTCTGTTTGTCCAGACAGAGTAGGTTGACAGCACATGGGTGAGGGGAAGATTGACAGGCAGAAGGACAGGTCTTAAGGTTGGACACAGGAAATGGAGTGAAAGAGGTCCCAAAAATCCAAAATTCGTGTGTTTGTAGTCTTAAATGTGGTTAAAGTGGTGCGGTTGTACGCTACCAGTGTCTATGCGCAGTTTGCAATTAAAAAAGGGATTGTATGCAAAAAGGTTGTTGACAATTTTATTAGTACACGACGCAACAATGTAAAGTAAATGTGTTGATATTTAAACGTGCTCAAGGTGTGGCTCTCCTCAAACTTGGGACAGAAGCCTGCCACGTAGCCAGTACCACCTATGGTCAGTGAAGTCTTGTAACACTTATGCCATGATGAATTATCTTTCTTTTGTTCTTTGGCCTCCTCCTGCTTTTTATAGATCTTGCTGGTGTTTGCCAAAGAAGACGGCCAAAGCGATACGTTTTGGTGGGCCTGCGAGCGCCTGGGCTACCGCTGTGAGCTGGCCCGAAACTCTGAGAGCGCGCTGGAGGCGATTCTTCAGAAGCACCATGATCTGATCATCATCGACCATCGACACTCCAGAAACTTTGATGCCGAGGCCCTTTGCAGGTCAGTGGTAGAAATGCACAAAATCTCCTAAACAATATTGTACAGACACAATTGCCCATCGTAAATTTTTCAGTCTGCAAAATTGCAGGTTCCTTAATTTTTCTTCTGCAACATTGAAAACTTCTTTGCGAAATGCAGACTGCAGATGGGTATTTCTAACACTGCAGGTAAGGTAAAAGCTTTCTTTGTGTTGCATTTTTTGTAGTTCACTGAGGATCCGAGATCTGTAAAGAAATAGAATTTTCTAAAGCACACCATAATTGTAGTCATGAAAGTTCTGTAACTGTCAAGACATGTTAGAGGTGTTCAACAGCACAAGTTTGTACAATTGTATACGGTTGAACTGTTTCCAAGTTTATGATATCACAAGGCATTGCCAACTGTGGTAAGTTAGGTTTAAGTTTTGTATGATGTTGCTTGCCAGACATTTTGAGAGTGTATACCTTTTAAAGGTGTTCAACATCACAAGCTTTTACAGTTACCTTCTGAACTGTTGCCAAGTTACTGATGTCACGAGGCATTGCCAAATGATGTCCGTGGGCAGCAGAAGTTGTTAGGATGGGTAAAGGGATTGAAAAGCTCTTCAATCTGCTTTTTCGTCATTACACTCCAGACATTTTGAGAACCTCAAATCAGAGATGTTCAACATCACAAGCTTGTACCGTTGCATTCTGAACTGTTGCCAAGTTACTGATGTCATCATCAGGCATTGCCGAATGATGACTCTGTGGGTAGTAGAAGTTGTTACGTTGGTTCAAGGGATTCACGAGGCACATCTGCTCTTTGTTCATTGGTATTGCACTCCAGACATTTAGAGTACTCATTTGGAGTTGTTCAACATCACACATCAAGCTTGTATTGTTGCATTCTGAACTGTTTCCAAGTTTATGATGTCATCATCAGGCATTGCTGAATGATCACTCTGTGGGCAGCAGAAGTTGTACATACAGTACCATCTATATAGTGCCCTGTATCATAGTGTATGTGTATGATTTGGGGGTGTTTCTCGTGCAAAATATCACACCGCAGCGAAACGCAACGAATGTGGAAGTAACTACGCCACCGCGGGGCAAAAAAAAGCCAAGGGTCTTTGACCTGATCAAGACTTGAAATTACTTGAAAATATTGTGTAAAAAATGCCAGAAGGACAAGGGTTAAGAGTAAGAGTACTCATTTGGAGTTGTTCAACATCACAAGCTTGTACGGTTGCATTCTGAACTGTTTCCAAGTTTATGATGTCATCATCAGGCATTGCTGAATGATCACTCTGTGGGTAGCAGAGGTTGTTACGATGGGTAAAGGGATTGATGAGCACATCTGCCTTTTGTTCATTAGCCACAGTACAGCAGTCACGGGCTTTAGGTTACTTAATGTTACATAACGTTCTGCAGTTCATTGCCCTCGACTTGTTCCATCATGTGCAGTACATTAGGCCATGTTGATTTGATTATATGGATGACATCCGTGCGCGCATGAATTTTCGGCCGTTTCCAAAAAAAAAAAGTTTTCAACCATACTGTAAATCGTACAAAACAGTTGCAAAATGAGCAAAAATATACCATAAGTTACAAATAAAATTAATAAAAACTATACCAATGTCGTAGAATGCCAAAATCAAACGAAAAAAGACGAAATTGTAAAGAAATGAACTTGAAGACTAGATTATTTGCCAAACCATATTCTGTGCCATTTGCTCAACCCCACATGACCATGTAGATTTCATAATGAAAAGTACTTTTTTTTTTTGCAAAACTTTTTTTTTATTCGCACGCGCGCATCAGTTTTGGGGCTCCCGGAGGATGTCATCCATATAATCAAATCAACATGGCCTTAGGCCTTGGAAAAAAATGTTGTGTTTCCTGTTAACCTACTAGTAGTAGACTTTTTTGGGGGGTGGTAATTTTTTGAGCTGATCAACCTTTTCTAGCTCCATGATCTGACACGAGTGATAAAACCTTGTACAATTGGTTTTCTAAAACAGTGACATTGAAAATAAAAGTGTCCTCATGCAAGTTTTACTTTGTTAAACTGTAGTGTATAAGTTGGACCCCTAGGTTAGGTTACTTAAAGTTATATAACATTCTAGTCGTAAGAGTTCATTGCCCTTGACTTCTGCCATCATGTGCAGTAGATTACCCGTATCGGACCCGAGGGTAATGAACTTTACTGTCAACAAATTACAGTGTCAGCAAACGACCGACCGTATTGATTTCTTCATCTCGTCATGTCAGTTTTGGTCATTGCGTACAGGAGTCTAAGGTCCATGTGTAGACATTTAGTGTCAGGTGAACAATCTTATTACAGCCAGTATCCCTCTGGGTCTCCATAACTGTCATGTCACAGCAACTACTTAGTAATCATATTTAATTTACAGTATTCTAAAATGTTAGCAGAAAGGTGTAGGAAGGTTTTTTAATGTTTTAAAAAAAATGTCTTTAAACAAAATTGAACAAAAAACAAGCAACAAAATATGTATGGCACATCAAACAAATAAACAATAGCCAGAAAACAATAATTAAGTACACAGGAATATATAAAACACCTGCCGCCAGCGTGAACACCTCCATTTTTCTCAGACTGTGAACTTTCCCTATCGTGAACACAAACTGAATTACAGTATTACGATCATGATGAATGATTGATGCAGACAGCTTTAATACCACCAGTGGAAGTCCGTCACGCCCGAGCGACCCTCCCATGTTGTTAGCAGGGCAGTGACAGCCAGGGATTTTCAGGATTTCTCCCGGAGGTCAATGCCTCTTGGTTGACCCCTGGTCAGGGGTGCGGGCAGGGGGTGGGTGCTTGTTGATGTCAGGAGCTGGCAGGCCTGCGCACTGCCCCGGTCTTGTCAAGGCTGCTGCCTATCCAATCCAGATGGGAGGCAAACGCTGCCAGAGCATGCATAGCCTGGGTGCCAGACCCACAGCACACAGCACGTCGGCAGAACGTACTGCACCTGTGCGAGACTCGTAATGCATTGTACATAGCACCTTGTGCCTCATATAAGGTCATATTTGCGCATATAAGGTTAATATCCCGTCTGTAGTTTCCAAATGTTATGCCGGAAAAGATGTCTTCTGCAACAGGCAAAATTCTGATGCAACGTTGACCAAAAATCCAATGAAAACCGTGAAAAATCAGGGTTTCGCGCAGGCGCAGTACGTTCCGCTGACGTGCTACAGCACACTAGGCTTTAAAGTTATCCAGTGTGCAGGATAACTCTGAGCCTAGTGTGCTGTGGGTCTGGCACCCAGGCTAGACTCCGTGTATGTACGAGCAATACCAGGTTGATTGGTTGTTTCTTGGATTTTTGCAGGATAGGAAATGAATGAAGTAGGAGGACGGGTGAAAAAAAAACAACAAACAGACCAAGTCATCCTGTGCTAGCCCCAAATGTTTATGTTACCATTGTGTAACAGGCACAAAGCAGCCAAAACTGCCCGAGGTAGCACACAGGGGACTGTTGAAATATGGTCTATGTGGACAGGTGGTCACAGTACATGTATCCAGGATTCTTAATGCTTGTGTCAATGGGAAAAATTATCTAAGGGACGACCAAAAAGTGGTGACATTTGCCAGTTCTTATGTAGAGGTGGTCAGTTGTACTGGTGGATTGCATATATTTTAGGATTTTTGTATTTTTGTATTTTTCTTACTAATGAAGGTTTCATTATTGTCTTTTTTTACAGATCAATTCGTGCAATAAAGTCCTGTGAGCATGCAGTAGTAGTTGCAGTGACCAGAAAGTCGTGAGTTAAATTTTTTTGATTTTGATGTTCACCTTTTTCTTGTAACTTAAACTAAGTAGTGAGAGGAAGACAAGATAGAGATACTAGATCAATACAAATACAAAGTGAAAAGACTTGTAAGATTATACAAGAATGTTTTGACTATAGGCTGTCATGTTGAATGATACCAGACCAAGCCTGTTGCGTCTTTTTTTTTCTATTCAGCACACTGTATTCCAGTTAGAAGTCTAGTGGCCTCAGGTGTTTATGTAATATTGTGACACTCTCCTTTTTTCTATTCAGCACACATGTATGCCAGTTAGAAGTCTAATGGTCTAGTGTTTATATAATATTGTCTCGGTTTTTCAATTCACCAGCATACTGTATGCCAGTTAGAAGTTTAATGTTCTGTTGTTTATATAATATTGTCTCGGTTTTTCAATTCATCAGTGTACTGTATGCCAGTTAGAAGTTTAATGGTCTAGTGTTTATATAATATTGTCTCGGTTTTTCAATTCACCAGCCTACTGTATGCCAGTCAGAAGTCTTAGACTAATGTTCTGTTGTTTATATAATATTGTCTCAGTCCGTTTTTCAATTCACCAGCGTGCTGTATGCCCGTCAGAAGTCTAATGTCCAGTGTTTATATAATATTGTCTCGGTTTTTCAATTCACCAGTGTACTGTATGCCCATCAGAAGTCTCATGGTCTGGTGTTATATTCAGAAGTCTCATGGTCTGGTGTTATATATAATATATAATATTGTCTCGGTTTTTCTATTCACCAGCGTACTGTATGCCAGTCAGAAATCTAATGGTCTAGTGTTAATATAATATTGTCTCGGTTTTTGACCAGCGTACTGTATGCCTGTCAGAAGTCTAATGGTGTGGTGTTTATGTAATGTTGCCATGATCTTTTTGTATTCACTGTACTGTATGCCAGTTAGCAGTGTGGTGTTTATGTAATATTCCTGACGTGTGCGCTGTTTTCCACATCACCCGGGCTGGAAATACTCAGTGCATATTACGCACTTTTGTGCATCCAAAATTGGAGCTGTGCACCTGTTTTTTCTACCTACATTTTTGTGGAGGGCCATGTATCTTTACATTTAAGTGTAGCCAAATTTTTTTTTTCATTCATTTTTATTCACAAATTTACTTCAAGCCCTGTGTCTGGCATTGGAGATTCAGCCTGCTCACAGCCACTACAGCTCTACATAAATTAGAAAACATTTTATCACAGAAAACCTGATTTAAAACTGTTGACTTTCTCAGTTACCACTAGGCAATATATTTACATGTAGGCCATGTTGAATCTGTTGTATGTGTACCCAAAATATTTTCTGTGCACCTTCAAGTTTTCAAGGTTAGGTACACCAAAAGTGGATTTTTTTCCCAGAAATGTATTTCCATCCCTCTGAAGATCCAGCCTGCTCACAGCCACAACAGCTCTGCCTGCGTGACAACCTTGAACCCAGGGCAGGGCTGTCTGGGAAGCATTACGCAATGACTTGTGGTTTTGGCAGTTTTCCTAAGTGGTTCTCCAGGGCCTCAGGCAGAGATAACCTTTTTTCACCACGCTGAGATCTTAGCCGTAAAATCTCCTCCCGATCATTTGGCAGGTTTTCAGCTCAGTGTTGAAGAAAACAACTGTAGAACTATCATAATGGAACAATCTTCCGGAGGCAATTGTTACGAGTATAGGTAGATAAAAGCTCCAGTATGAAGTTAATTCTTTCCTCAGTGCAGAACTTTTACGGCTTTATGTCTTGGCAGTCCAGCTGCTAATGCTGAGTGAGAGTTGATATAGAAAAAAAACCCATGTGACACCAAATTACAACATTTTCTGCTAAAAGGTTTAAAGGTTTCCCAAGGATTTCAAGGTGTTTTTCTTGACTTGAGTTTCTCTGCCAACTTGTGTAATGATGACTTGTTCCCACAGACCCAATGAGAAAGAAGAGCCAAGCATTCTGCCCCTACTAAATGCTGGCTTTAACAGGGTAAGTGCAATGTTTTAGATGTGATATCTTACTACATATTTGCTCTATTTATGGTTTAATGTACTGTACACTAGTATGTACAGGTTCCAACTTCTCGCTTCTTAAGAAACCTGTAAGAACATATAGAGTTTATGATACATGGCTTATCAAGTTGCATTGCTAGGACACAACAAAGTACCTATCACTGTATCAGGTTGACTTATTGTTAACTTTGTATTTCTTTAGCGTTACACGGAGAACACTAACCTGGGCGCATGTATGAATGAGCTGCTGATGTTGGACCATTGTGAGGTCCGCGCCAGGCACAAGCTGAGGTGAGTTCCTGCCATGAAAGTTCATCTGTGCAAGTACTACTGAAGAAGACCAGAGTGTACTGGTCGAAAGCTCTAGGCGAGAGAACTTTTTGTGTTGGATCTTAAGTTTTAACTCTAAACAAAGTTCATCTGTTTTGGTAAAAGTCTTTAGCAAGTTTAAACTGTAATTTCCAACACAATTTACATCACAGAAGCACTGGATTGCACTTGCACAGTCCTTCATAAAGACTGGAGTTGTGCAGTCAAAAATTTCTTGTGTTGGAAATTACAGTTTAAACTTGCTTCATAATGGGATGAAACATGTCTATTACCAGTAGTGCAAAAAAGGTTGGTGTGGTGTAGTGGTTTGTGCACTTGCCACATCTGGCTCAAATTCTATGAGCCACATCGTCCTTTCAGACGTAAAGCCAGCAGCCCAGTATATGAGAGCTCATGGTGTGAAACTGCTGCATGTAAAAGAGCCCATCACATCGATAAGAGTAGGAGTGATGACCGGACAGTGACTTGTTAAAAAGCAAGCCGTAGCAATAAAGCCGCACTGCTCTATTACTAGCTAATGAAAAAGCGGCAATACAAGGGGTAAGGTAGAAATGCTGGTGGTGGAATTGATTTAAATTTACTCCTTTGCTGCACACATGGTGGTACATTGTAGGTTGCTCACATCACACATCAACTCTATCAGTCATGGCCCCAAGGCTACAGGCACTATGCTATCTTTGTAAATAAGTTCTATTCATATGAGGTTACAAAGAAAATTTGATTGCACGGTGTAACTTTGTAGCCATGTATTTTTAGCCTTATATTATATATGTGGGTCCGGCAACCTTGTGTACGTGGGTGCATTGACCTACAGGGCTCGAACCATTTTTTTCTGCACACCTGTACTGGTGCAGGTAACATTGGAAATTACCTGCACCAGACAAGTTTTACCTGCACCACTCAGAATGCACAGTAGGAAGTATGGATCATAGCTAAAAGCTATTCACTTATTTCATTTTTAAAGCAAATAAAAATCCAACCAACAGGTGGTAACAGTCAATGCAGCAAATAAAAATCCAGAGACACCTACAGTACCGTTCGCGTTATAGTTAACCGGGTACCCCGTTACTAACGAGTTATTTTTTCGTCAGAAAATGGTTAGAAAATCGTCAGTATTTGGTTAGATTTTCGTCAGAAAATGGTTAGAAAATCGTCAGAAATTATTTCTAACGCGTTACCGTTTGCGTTAATGTGATAGGGTCGGATTTCATGTTTGTTTTGCGCGCCGACAAGACAATAGCAATTTGCCACCTCCTGGGGCGTCCGCTAATGTGTTGCGATGTTGCCCCTTGAAAAATAACAGCACCAGAGGCAAGTGGACATGTGATTCGTAAAATAACTTTGTGGTTTATCCATGTGTCGACTGTGTGAAGCGAATTGTGCTATCTTTTAATGCTATTCTATAGTTATTTCTAGCGGAAAATTACGTTGTGTAATACAATGTATGTCAACAAAGTGTAGCAGTGGGCAGACGATGTCTTGTACATTTTGTACCAGCGGCGGCCTACCGCTCTCACAGGACGTCATGGGACGTGACGAAACAAGAAATATCTGCCGTAGAAGAAATATAAATCGGTAACTCATGCCTTAAATTCACGGCGGTTTTTGACACAAAAGAAAAATTATTATAATTTTTGTAAGGCGCGCGGCTTACTAGTACTAGCGGCTTTAATACTCACGGTAAAATGTACCGTCACTCCCGGCGCAAGGACTCGGTTCGCCAGCTGAGGACTTTCCACAACCATGATGATATCATAGTTAATAAAGGAATATATAATAGATCTATCATGTTGAAATGATAATTGTAATACATGGTTCTATTTAATAGCGGTAGTTTTGTTTCTTATTTTGAGGGGGGAAACTGTCAAAAATCGAGGGAACGCAAACTGAGATCGGCTCACTTCCGGGTGCATAACGCCAAAATTTCTCGACGATTATATAAAAATGACCACTCATTTGCCGCCTACGGTAGCGTGTACATGGTAGTGCGATCATATCGTGCCAAAGTCAGCGTCAAACGTCAGAAAATCCCCGTAAAAATATAGTTGCAAAACACATTTCCCGCGCACTCAGGGCCGGTCGCCCTGGCCGCTGCCGCCCTGTGTGCAGCATGCTCATTATAATATGCAAGTAGCTACGCTCTGATTGGTTCACCTTAGATGACCTGCGCTGTGATTGGCTAGAACGAAGCCCGTTGCATGCTGGGGCGCCAGGGCGCGCGAAGTGCAGAGAGCTCGATCTCGAGAAAGCCACATTTACGCTGGTTTCTACCTTATTTCTACGACTAATTAGCAACATCCTAGTGACGAAATGCGTACTCAAGAGAATTTTCGGGAAAAAATATATGTACATGTGGATTTGTGGTGCCTTTGGCGTAATTTTGTTGGTCACATACAACGTAATGTAACACGGAAGTGCATGGAGTCGGAGTCGCGGCACGGCTTTCCGTCCCACTCTAAACAAAACTCCAAGGACATAACAAAACTCCCCAAAACTGGTCAATAATTAGCCATAAAAAATGTTGGTGGGCACGTGTAAATATGCTGCCCTTTT